TAGGTATAATAATTTAAGCTCTTACATTTTCATTGTGCAGCTTTTAAGTGCTGGTCTGATGCAGTCCAGTGCTACACAATGGTCCCTCTTTCAGTATGCCACCAGATGAGTGAAATGCATGCTAAGAACATCAGGATATTTTTATTGTTTTGTACTTGTAAGTAACTGCCATTTTGAGAAAGACGTCTGATCACTTGGGCTGCTGTATTGATTGAATTGTGCTATTGAATAGGATCCATGAGAATGTTGAAGGTCCCATTAGGAAATACATATCTTGATTTATACTTGATGAGAGCTACATTGATCACGTTCACATACTGAAACAATTATTGATGGAATCTATGATGAACAAGTCATTTTAGTTGTGATGAACATTGGCTTCTAGCAGACATTTGACAGTGAACCATGAGATTCTTTGTTGTTACAGCACATCTGAGAAAATCATTAGGCTTTTTGAAGCCTTTGCATGCTTGGTATAAGTATTATCTGCATTAAGAGTCTCTAGATTCCTTTCACATCATTTTTGGCTTTCTTGTAGGAGTACATCAACAACTTTTGTTATCAGTAGCTGCAGTATATTAATACTAATAGAGAAATAAATAACTCATTATCAGAATGTATTTTTGTGGACAATAGTGAAGTATTCTTAAGGAGAAGCAGAACTTATCTGAGCTGGTTAAAATGAGCTCATCATGTGATGAAGGCAAACAGCAGCAATTCTGTGGAAAAGCATTGGAAATATTTTCAGTTTTCAGTTCTGGGTACTGTATTCTTGCAGAAAATCAGAGAACAGATATCCTTCTAAGGTTACTTTAACTGAATTTAAATGACTGTTAAAAATGTGTACTGCTACAATAAAGGAAGTTTTCATGTATTTTCCAGTGACAAAGCATTGCAAATTGGAGAGTTTAGCTGCCAATCTTAGAGTGAAATGAGATTTGCAAGAATTGTAATGATCTGTAGAATTGGAGATAAAGAAAATTGCCTATTGATGTCTGCAGTGAAGTCAGTAAACACCTCTGGTTTGTCTGTGCAAACCACTGAAATGACTCTGTACTGTTCTAATGATACAGAACTGCTTATAGTTATTATATCCACCCCATGTCATTCCATGGAGTGTGAAGGGAACAAGCATGTATTTGGGTTATTTGAATGTTTGTTACTTCTGTCTGTGATCCAAAGCTATGCACACTGCTTCCAAGAGAAATAGGAACAAGTTGTGACCACCCTTAAACTACTTGAAAGACCAAGCTGGTAAATTCAGCAGTGCAGCAGCTAGAAACTTGGCCATCAGAGCAATACACAGATGCTTACAGATCTGTATGGATTTGTGTAACAGCCTGAATAATGAGCGTGGATTTTTTTATTTAGGTTTAATGTTCAGTCACTGCAATTTCTTTTGTTTTCCTGGTTTGGTTTATGATCTTCAAGTTACATTGGTTAGCTACATTTCTGGACTTACTGCCCTTCTTCTGACTTCCAACATGTTTATGTATTTCCTATGTGATTCAGGAACAGAAATTGGAAAATCATTAAGTAGAGCTTAACAGTCTTAATGCTGCAAACTATTAAATTGCCTTGGCCTCAGAAGTGGATCGGATTTAAAATAATAAAGAAAAGAAGTTAAAAGGTATTATTCAAACGCACCAGACTTTCTTATTAAAATGAGCTGTGTTGAGTAGTGATTTTCTGCCTTAGCATCACTTTCATTAGGCAACCACCAGGGATGTACTGCATACACAAGAATAAAATGAACGGAGCTGACTCACACTCACACAGATGCATTTGCAGAATGTAGTCCCTGAATAATTTAGAAATGCAGAATAGAAGCGGTTAAGAATCACAGCATAATGGAGAAGTTCTGATCTTGTATATTATGACTTTAAGCTTGGGCCACTCCAGAATTTGAATATTTTCCTGTTTTTTATAGTTCTACAACAGAAGTTCTTTGAAAGAAGAACCTAAATCCTATTGAAGAATAGAAGATGGAGAAAGAGTTATCTATTTTTTTCTGGAACCAGTAAAGCCTGCTTGCAAATCTTGTTTTAATGAGGATGTTGTGAAAAATGTACTGCTTTTAAAAAATTGATTAATTCAACTAAAATGAAAAGTGTTAAAAAACATACATGAAGACAAAGCAAAATTGGTGATGTTGCTGATGTGATAAAATCAGAAAATTGAAGAATAAATTTAGTGATTCTCTACACTATTTAAGTAAGAGTAAACTCAGGGGAAGGAAAAATCAAGTAATGCAGTTAAAGAAATAGTGAGTTACTGGGTGATGAGTGGCTGTAGAGGGTGAAAAGGAATATCATTAGATGTAACGGGATTTGGAAGCGAGTTTGAAGCTTTTTGAAAAGTGGAAACTGCTGTCAGTCCCAACTGTTGTGTTTGTAGAGCAACTTACTCGGCATAAAACGGATTTTGAATAACTCTAATGGTGAGAGAACTGCCCCTGCTAGGAGGTTAACATTGCAGAGGATTAATCTTTAAATATCTTAAACCACTGGAAATGTAGATGCTAAATGCCATGAGAGTAGGTTTCTGTTGTATTGCAGAGAGCTGGGCAGGCAGTGTAGAGGGGTATAATCTTAGTAGGACTTGCTTGTTTTCAGATGTCACATTTGTTCATTAATGTGTCATGCATCAGACAGTTTGAAGTGTATTAATACATCTTAGTTATACTTCTCCTGTAATACAGAAGGAGGATGCTAGACAGTGCTACCAGGGTTGCATATTAAAATGTCTCCATTCTTGCTGCCGAAGGAAGTACTGCTTGAAGGATGTATTTCCGTGTATATATACATATATATGTATGTATATATACATATATATGAGGGCTGCTCTGAAAGTAAAGCTTCCCATTTTATTATGTCAGCCCATGACGTCAGATACAGACATTGGTGGGATGGCTGCAGCAGTCAGACCTTCCCACTGGTATCCCATGACATTTTGTTGCTGTGTGATGGCAGTAGTGGGGCAGTCTGACAGAATGGTGTCTGACATGGAAGTGCACCACAGAGCAGAGGTGTGTCATTGAATTCCTCTGTGCAGGAAAAAATGGCATTCATTGACTCTTGCTATAAACATTTATGGAGACCGAGCAGTGGATGTAGCAGTGTGAGCCTGGGGGTGGTGTGTTTCAGCAGTGGTGACAGTGGGTCACCTCCACTGGTGTGGATGTGTCTCAGTGTGGTCTGCAGGCACTTATTCGTCACTGGTGAAAATGCATAGCTCATGGTGCATTGAAAAGTAGTGTTTTGTAGCTGAGAATTGGCTCTTTCAAACAGTGTTATTGTGCTCTTCATTTCTGTTGTAATTACTGTGGAGATAAGTAGGAGGCATTACTTTCAGAGTGACATGCATATATGTTTTCTTTTTTTAAAGACCTGTTTGTTTACCTGTCATAGCAGCATTTCTCAAATATTCCAAAATGAATCATTTTGGTAGGGCTCTGGAATACATTGGTGCAGATCTTCTGTGTGAGAAATGATCGTTTTGCTTTTTCCAAAGGAATCTACTTGCTCTTCCTTTGGTATACTCTTGCTTGTATAGGGTGAGCAGTGGGGAGTGACAACAGCTCTTATTTTGAGGGTGAGTTTTGGTGAAAGAATTACAAGTTTTTGTGTGTTTTTCTGTGTCAGCTTTATTTAGTAACAATTTTTATCTTGTCTTATGGGCTAGAGAAAGTGCCATCAATTCAAAAAAGAGATTGAAATATTTTTCCTTCTGAATAGCCTAACAAATGTTTTGGAAACTGAAATTTGAAATGTCTGATGCCTAATAGTGCAGTGTTCTTCAAAGTAGGACATTCTTTGCATGCTTAGCACTGACGATTTCTTCTCTAGTTTCTTTGCCATGAGATACAAGCACTGCTGACTTTTACCACACAAAGCTTACTGTCGCTGTGGTTCTTTCTGTTTTTTCCCAAATTAGGACAGGTCATTCCTTCAAGATGAAGGACATCTCATTCGAAATTACTTATTCTTTAAGGAAAAAAAAAAAAAAAAAGCATTCCAGATGCAATCAGATGGGAATACTGCTATGCTATCAGGCATATTTGTTAATAAGATAGTAATGTAAGTAGTTAACATAACAGAAGTTGATTTGACCTGGTGATACGCATTTATACAGGGTAAACAAAGCCTGTTATCTGAGATTTTATTTATAAGGATCTGCTCAAGTGATCCGAGACCCCCCCACCACCTTGTTTGCCTGTCCTGCCTTAGACCTCAGCACATAATCTCACTGTACCGCTGCCCTTTTGACATGCGATTGCCCTTTCCATCAGCGTCTATCCAAAAGCATATTTGTCTAAAAAGGAAACAATTAAATTCCAATCTCATACAGAAAACCTTTACTTTTCAAAGAAAACATATGAAAGAAGTCTCAGAGTCATACATGACAGGCAACCCTCACTAAATAAGAACCATAAGTCATTAAATTGAATTCAGTTACTGCCAAAGTAGACACCAAGTCAACGATCTCTGTATTTTGCCTGTTTATATAAGTAATGTTATATGCCTTGGTTTTTATTTATTATTTTTCTGTTAAATCCTGTAGTAAGAATGCATTGTAATATGTGGTAAGTACCATTAACATGCAACAGAAATGACAAGTATGATGGGTAAATTAATACAGAAGTATTTCAGGTGTGGAGTCATCTACTCTCAGTAACAAATTGCAGTAGGCTACAGAGACTGAACTCTATGAAGATGACAGACATTGAGGGCATCTTTTGCACTTTTCCAGTGTTGCAGAGGGCTCTCAAGTCACTGGGACAGTCCAACTTGTGGATCAGGCTGTCAGCCCCTCTGTTCCATCCATATTTAAAGCCATTGGAAGTCTTACAGCCTTCATGCTGAACAAAGTTACCAGGTGTTTTGTAATGCTTTTGAACCAATGCAGTTTGTGTTTAAAGGGCTAATGGTTATTAACAGTTGTTTTATCTTTAATGATTGTCTGGTAAGTAGGTAACAATTGTGCATTTTCTTCCTTAGTTTGTTATTAAAAAATGAAGATGTTTCTAATTTTACCTGTGGAAGAAGAATGTGGGCTGAGTGGCCACTGATCAGGTAATGCACTTTGTCTTGTATTCCCACCTGAGCTTAACAGTCTGCGGCACAAAATGAGGCATGAGCCTAGAGGATGTCTGTGGGTCTTCATTGCAATCCACATTATGAACACTACCAAGTTGAAAGCCAGTGCAGACAGATTTTATTCCTTTAGCTTTTTTGGCAAAGGCCTGTTTTTATCAGTGAACTTGTGAACATAATTCCTACCTGACAGAACTTGAAACAGTGCAGTTTTGTCATTAATTAAATTTCCCACAGCTACTGTTTAAGATAGAAATGACTGAAATGACATTTCAGAGTATGTGATGTGTCAGTGACATTTCCCTGGATGCCACTTCACAGCGGGTGGAATTCCCAGAAATTATTGCAGCGCTCTTATTGATGTGGCTAGCTGAATCCCAGCTCAGCCTGATTTTTTTGTTAGGCCTCCGAGTATGTGGGCTTGATTGGTTACGTACTCACGGTGTTTGAGAAACTCTAGGCAGTGTCTAACTGCTAACAAGGCTTTTTCTGTCTAGTTGATTTTGTTTTACTAGTGGTGCATCTTGAATCCTTTATAGCTAATGGACTTGTAAGGTATTGTTACTGCTAAGGTAGCGACTGTTTCATCTGGTCTGATTGCCCAACTCAGTACTGAGAAGAGTTCTGACTCTTGGGCTGAGAAATCACCAAGCGCTGGTATAAAGGGAAACTCCTGTGACTAACTTCACTAATAGCTTAACTGGCCTTGCCACGTGATGCATAATTTTGCCCTTCAGTGGCGTTCTTTCCAAGACCTGCATAGGCTGAGAAATGTCTGTGTGTGCAGACTGTAAGGGTAAAAAGAGGTTCAGTTGCACTTCTGTTTGACAGTTAAGAGGACAAAAAGGACTGTAAATGCTTTCCTGTTTGATATTTAAAGCTAAAACAAATTCAGCTAAGTGAATTAAACAAATTGGTCTTAACAACAAGATTAATAGTTTTTTTTGAGCTGCCTTACTGATGTCTTAATGGAGATTTTATTATGTAATGTTAAGGATGGCATTGAATTATATATTTCTTAGTTACCATCTATCACCTACAGATTTAATTAACCTACTAGATTCATGTAGGTTTTTATTTTTCTTACAGAATCAGCTCTTCTACTCCCTGTGTGTCTTTGACAGCTGAGTTGTTGCTGGCAAAAGAAAAAGTTTGCATGTTCTGACCGACTGAATGTCCCTACAAATAGAAATGCATTTTGCTAGTAATAGCTTCTACGAAACAATACTAAACATTGGTGTAGTACATAAGCCTTTTACCACCCTTGAAAACCCAGCTTGAACCTTGAGCTAGTCATTTACATGATGTTTCCTTGGGATTACCTACATTCTTGTCCACTCTGACCTTGTAATTTTGCTCACAGTTGGAAATGTAATGCAGAGTGACTAAGATAATGTTGTTTACACAGACTTTAAGTGGAGTGACATTATAGTCAAGCAAGTGTCACATCACCCAAAGTGAAGGAAGACTTAATTACCATAATCCTGTGAATACTAAAATTCCTTAGCCATGTGTAGCATAATAATGTAATGCTCTGCATGTTGCATTTAATAATGTGAAGGTACTGTATTAACTCTCTGGAGAGATTCTATAGTCAATGTACATCCTTGGTGCATTCCATCGCTCACAGTATACCATCTTCCATTAAACATGCAGCTTGCCAGGCAGAACAGACATAAAGTGACTGGACTAGCATCTCTGTTAATCTGGTCAGTATTTGGTGCTGAGGTTTTGTAGAGGTGATGCAGTCTGTATTTTATTAAATAACAGGAACAGTAAGGATAAGATAGTAATAAAAAACGTATTGTGTCTTAGCAAACATATTGTTAAATGGACAGAAATGTTAAGTACTGCAAGACTTGAACAAGTTTTACCTTAAGTAGTCAAATGAGCCCACCTTTCTGTCAACACTGAATGCAGCAGCTTTATGCATTCAACAGGAACGAGAAGCAAGCTTGTGAATGAGTATGCAATCATAAAAGGCCAATCATGAGCAATTATCATAATCGTTTTATAAAAATGGAGTGATTATTGTTAATACACATTGCTCTTATCCCACCAGCGCTTAGTAGTGCACAACGTATTGCATGTCTTAAACACATATTTCTTAAGAATCAGACTACTTAGCGGCTGGAAGGCAAAACCAGCTATGACCAAGCCCATGTACAGTCAGTAGCTGTTTGCCTTTTATTACTTGAGAGCCCAGGGCTCTTCAGAACCTGCCTGGATCACAGTCTTGTTGCCCAGGCTGTACAGTTCTGTGGTCAATGGCTGACAATAGTAGATGGCTTCAAAAGTGCAGATGAATAGTCCATTTTTTCTTGTTATTGTTGGAAAGATGAGTTTGAATTAGCATTTTAAGGAGACTAGCAGGTAGAACAGCCAATTCTGGGGAGGGATTATGTGTTCTCATGTATGAACTGCATGTTTAGATAGCAGTTGGTGTATAGTTTGAAGTTCAGTTTTGATAGGACTGGAAAACAGTATGAGTGTACAAGTAAAGATGAAAAAACTGGACGTGAAGTCATGTGGACTACTAGTGTAAGATAGAATATAGACAAGTGGAAGCACTTAAGTATGGACTGTAGAGTTGGTGTTGGTTTGCACTAATGCAAATGCTAGTGCTCTGAGTTTGCCATTACTTACGCTAGCATGTTGCCTAAGCATACTTGCACTTGCTGCCTCTTGGCTCTCTTATTAGAATATGATGCTTTGGAACTGTCACATGAATATGTGAAACAGGACTAAAAAGCTGTGGATGGCAGAAGCAGCGTTTCATTAAAAACTACTGTGATGTAAACTAATATTCCAGCCCATGCGTTGTTCAGCAAGCATTCTGATCAGCAGCGCAGAGCAGTGCACGGGTGAGTTTTCTTTGCTTCAAGCTGACCACGTTTCCCTTTGAAATAAGGGCCTGGAGCTTTGCCTTGGCACGGTGGAAGCGCAGAAGTGCTGCTGTGCACGGCCATCGAGTGGGCGCGGATGGCTGGTGGCACCTGGGAGCGCAGGCTGCCGGCTGCGCTGGGGTCCCTGGAGCACGGAGGCCGCAGCTGCACAGCAGGTGGAAGTGCTCCGGTGCTCCCTCTTGTCGAGTCCCCCCAGAGCCACTGAAGGGTTTTAACTTAGTTGGATGTATAATTCTCATTGATTAACAGGAGTTCTGGGAAGGAACGCTTTTGTAAAACTGATGATAGGGAGGAGCTGCCTGGGGCAGAGGCTGTCAGATGATCTCCTTTGTGGCTCAGATAGTGCAAATATTACTGAGGAGCCAAAAACCCCTTTCCTCTCCCTGAATTCCATGGAGCAGCAGCACTGAAACACCAAACTGTTCAGATTGCTAGAGAGGAATTTTACAGGTCCTGTCTTTTTTGCTATTTCAAACATTTTTGAGTATGCAAACTTAGAGTACTGTTATATGGACCAAAAAGGTCAGGGAATGTTCCTAACACCCAGTCTTGCATTTCAGGATTTCTTAAGCAGGTTTCTTTCCCTAGAGTGCAACAAGTTCTGGCTTCACTTGAGACTTCATTTTCTGCCTTGTTGTTAGGGACTGCAAAGAATGGAAAAGGATCATTTTGGGAACCACGGATGCTCATCATGAAGCTCTGGGGAACGAGTAGTGCTTGGAATTCTCTAAATGCTATCTTGAAACTCGTGCATGCACACACAAAGCATGGATGCATACACGTACGTGAGTAGTTCTGTTCAGTTTTAGGGACCACAACCGGGTCTTATCTCAAGTACTCAATAAAGCTTGATGGGAAGTGCAGCATCAGAGGCCAATGAAGTGTCATCACTTGGGCCCATTTGCAAGAGAAAGGCACAGTATTTTTGCTTCAGCAATCACAGCTGTTTAAAAAGCCCACTTTTAAGAAAAAAGGGAACCTACACGTGTAACTTACTGCTTGGCAGCCACACGTGGGTGGATTGGCTACGTCCTGTGCACAGAGCCTGCACTGGGCCTGTATGCGGGGCTGCGTTAGCAGCCCTCGAAAATTCCTCCAACTGCAAAACTAATTAGTGAAATTAAGTTGAAAATGCTGTAAACAAGTGAAGTTATTATTCATTCTGCACGGCACTACAAATGTGGGAGGACATGTTAAATGATAAATTAGGCATGAACTGCTTTAATCTGTAAGCTGAACATGCCAGCGAAGGGCCTGCATTTGTAATTAGTGTTTGGGGCCGCAGGAGAGTGGTGCCTCTTTTAGAATGGTGACAGGGAATTGATCAGTTTAGGTTGCTGTGGCAACCAGGAGCCCTGCTTGCATTTGCCGCCATTCTGCTATTATGCCATCCCCGTGTTTAGAAATATATTTATGAACTGTAAAGATAAACTACTCAATAATGCAAAAGAGGCTGCGATGCTCAAATGCCAAAGTGACGGGGCCAAGAGAATGCCTGACTACCCGATAACAAGCTTAAGTGTTCTATGGTTGTCATGACATTTCTTTTACAAAGCAAATGATGTCTGCAGAAAAAATCTTAAAATTAGCCGAAAATGCAAATCTCTTTATGAGGCTGTCACCTCCATAATAACAGACAATAATTGATGATTTATGAGATGCCACCATAGCAACCAACTCCTTCGGCACCCCTTGGCTTATTGTACACAATAGACTTGGGCTCCTGTGAAAAAGTTTCTGATGTGAAGCTCAGGAGGCCTGCTAGCATCGTGCTCCGTTCGTTCTTACAAAGGAGATTCACAAGCATTGCGGGGATTTTTACAGTCATCAGACAGTTTAAATGGCTGAAGTATTGTCAGTAAACACTAATTTGTGGCTCAAGTGACAGTGGTTTCAATCAAAACCTTTTTGAGCAACTAAATAGTTTTTATTCACTGTTCAAGTTGGAGTGGAGACTGTGACACTGAGTCTGGGCTGTTTAGCTGACTGTTCCATATCTTTTGTGTAATGTTTACACTTAAAAACATCAGTAATATAAATCAGCCTGGGTTTATTTTTGCATATTGGTGTCTT